CCCTCTGACCACCACCAGTAGGCAACGGCTGAAGTGTCTTGCCCAAGGACACAACGACCGGAGCTCGAACCGGCAACCTTCCTATTACAAGACGAACTGCCAACTCTTGAGCCACGATCGCCTTCATGGCTTAAGTGAGACTCTTTGTAGTTTCACCATCACGTTGGTGTAATCGTTAAACCCTGACACGCTTTTTCACTTTTTGTTTGATGAATACAGTCTCGCAGAAGTGAATTCAGGTGGTTTAATAATTAGCAGCTGCTGTCCAACAGAAAACACTTTAGTTACACGATTTCACCGTAAACCGGTGGCGTGTGATTTCGCAGCACACCACAGTACTGCTATGAAAGCAGATATTGTCTGACTTCTCCAGAGTAGTTCCCCAAACACTTTATCCAAATTATTTCTGTTTATTTACCAAAAGTGTTTTTAGTGCATTTGTCCAACAACAAAGACAAGAAAATTTTAATTACTATATTTCTTAATATTCTTATTTTAATCATGAGTTTTAAGGTAAACTGCTTTGGCGTACTTTCATAAGACATTTTATTCATTTGTCTATCACCAAAATGTACATTTTGTCAACTGCTTTTATTGTGAAAGGCAAGAACGCGAGGAAGCTTCTGGTATAGATTAAGCTGTGCCCCAACACAGCGGGCAGCTCTCTAACCCTTCAGTGTTGCAGTCTCTGTGCAGAGAGTCATTCACCCTGTTTCAAAGTTAGTGGCAGCTAGTAATGCTCACTGAGACGAGAGACACTCAAGAGCACAACAATCACATCCTTTGGATTTTTAAACCCGCCGGGTCACACAGACGTTACTCTGATGGATATTAGAGGGTTGGTAAAGGTTGCGTTTTACATTCGGACACCAGCGATGAAAACGTGAGAAACACGAACAAATTACCTGTGACTCAGCCTGGGTGGAATTCTGTGACCAGTATGACCAGTGAGACTCATGCTCAAAAAATGTTCCCAGTGTGTGTGTGTGTGTGCTCATACATATAAACTGCTCATATTGTGTGTGGGTATTTATAAGCCTGTGTGACTGTAACTCTGCAGAGCAACTGAGGTTTAAATTTAGCCTCACACTCCAAAACACACACACACACAGTCACGTTTGCATTACTGGAAACACAGGACGCTGACCAGGAGCATTTGCAGCAGACCTAACGTTGCATATTAATATTAGTGTATCGCATTAGACCTTCAGATTTAATCATTCACCTTATAGGGACTCGCTTATCAACACCATGCAGTTGTGTAAACAGACGAGTACAACAAGCTCGCGCACACACACACACACACACACACACACACACACACACACACACACACACACACACACACACACACACACACAGCTGTTAAAGAGGGCTAAAGGTCAGCTGACAGCTGTCTGTCACCGTTCATGCTGGTCATTCTTTTAAAGGACCAGTTCAGTGTTTTTATATAAATCCTTTGATTGACTGAGGATCAATTTCAAGCCCCCAAAGCTCAATTTAAAGACTGGAAATGCTGGAAACAGCCGGCATGCTCCCTGTTCAGCGTCACATATTTGGAACCTACCCGGGGGCCCCTGCTGAGGCCCCTCATTCCCACATTCCCAAGTGTGTGTGTGTCCCAGTAACCAACTCCAGAGAGCAGTCTGGTCACCTTTCTGTAGTCACAGCCTTAGCGTCTCCCGGTCAGACCTGGTGACACCGTTATTCCTTATTTGCTGCTTTTATGAAGCACTGAAGTAGTTCCACATTTGTGCTGACTTCATGTGTTTGTGGAGGTTTTTGAACAAACTAGTTGCCCTCAGGTTGATCTGTGGTGGCAGCTAAAACCCAACGGAACAGGCAACAACATCAATCATTTATTGAGGTGTTCAACGTATATGCCTCCCGCTAACAGCACACGGGGACGACGTGTAGGCGACGGTCCGCAAAGTTCTGTGTGGAACCATCGCAGTAAGCCCCGCCCACTGACCGCTGCTGTTTGTTCTGTAGGAAAAAACACAGACAAACAGACAAGAGTCCATTTTACAGCGCAGAGAGTAAAAAGGAGGCAGGTTGACCTGAATGAATCACTCGGGCTGAATATTTATCGTTCTTTTATTAATACTTAGATCTGCTTAACTTGGAGGAAACTGCAGAAACAGGATATTTAAGGATCTAAAGTAATTTTGTTATTGAGTTTATCAGTGAGGACCAACTCTGAGCAGGTAGGCCTCATATTAAAGCTTCTGACCAAATTTCACATCTTTAACTTCTTTATTCCACAAAAACTAGCGTGAAGCAGATAAAAGTGATAAATCATCATTAATTAACAAAAGATAATCAGTTGCTTACATTTTTTAAGCAGCATTTGCATTGAACATATAAATAACGTTAACAGAGAGAAATGGGACAATAAATGTGGTTTGGAGAGAACAGAGAAAACAGCTGTTTTAGCCCCTCTCCTTCAAGCCAGCAAATCAAATGCCAACAACAGTTAGCTCACGGGTGAGTAAACAGAAAACCCCAACAATCACACGATCCGTATGAGAAAGCGCTTTGGCATCAGTGGGAACCAGACTCGGGGAGGTCCAGTCATCTGCCAGAGTGTGATATAAATCACAGACTGGAAAAACACGTTTAATAATAAAAATGTAGACAACCAAAAACTACACAGACAATAAAAGCAATAAAAGAATGTAACAGGAATGGAATCCATGAACGTCACAGTAAACAGTGAAAGTGTCGGTGCAGCTTCGGCTAAGTTGACCATGACATAAAAAAATCAACCAAAGGGTTGAAAAAACGTTAAAGAATCGTTCAGGTGATCACGAGTCATGTGACATTTGTGTGTGCAGGTTTTCTAATGGCTCCTGGAGAAGAAGAAGGTTCCAGCGAGCATCATGCAGGTGAGCTGAAGGTCCCGATGGTGGCGCTCTGTCACATCTGTGTTACTGTGAGAAAACAGTCACACGATTCCACAGAAAGTCAAAAAAAGGAATGTGACTCTCATGTTTTATCCTCAGATGTGTGAATCGCTGTTTGAAAAGATCCGTCTGTATATTTGTTTAGAGGGGGGGAAACTCACACCGAAGGCCCCAAACATTGTTGCACAAGGCTCGAAATGTGTTGTTTTTTTCTGCTGTAAAAGTCGGGACACTTTCACAGAGGAGTCTTTGGTGGCTGACTCACAGTACAGGAACTGGTCATTCTTCCGTTCCTGAGGTTTTCATGAATAGGATAAGATAACTCTTTGTTTCCGTTGCACAGTCATGCTTAGCACAATAGTACAATGGAACTGGAAACTGTCCCACGCTGGCATAAGCACAACTAAGCACAACAAACACAACAGAGGAATTTAAGTGGATTTGTCCAAGTGCAAGAAAGGTTTGAGCAAAAAAAGTAATGATTTAATAAAAAATAAAAGAGTGAGTGAAAGTTTATTGCACATTATTATTGTTATTGCCCACCCAAAAAGTCCAGGGAGGTAGCCAATCAGGTCAGCTGTTAGCATTGATTAGGGCTGTCGGTCTGTTGTAAAAGCTGTCCTGCAGTCTGTTGGTCCGGGACCTCAGCAGCCTGAACCTCCAGCCAGACGGCAGCAGCGTAAACACCCGCTGTCCTGGGTGTGTGCAGTCCCGTAGGATGCTGCGTGTCCTCCTGAGACAGCGAGTGCTGCACAGGTCCTTCAGGGAGGGAAGTGCCTTTTTGTGTGCCATGGTGCAGCTGGAGAACCACACAGATGCAGGATGTCAGCACACTTTCATGGAGACGATCAGGTCAGAGAGGTATAATAATGGAAAATGCACAACATGAGGAAAGACGAGGAGAAAAAAGAACTCCCCCCAGACTGAGCTCCAACAGGGAGATCAGTTTGAGAACAGAAAAAAAAAACACCACAGCGCATACAAAAAGCACATGACTATCATCTGAGAAGCTTCTTCAGTTCTAAGGTCTGGAGAGTCCCAGATTTAAACCCAGTGGGAGTTTCCCCCCAAAGAGGGACAAAGGACCCTCTGATGATCCTCCACCTAATCACATGAGCCAAGGGGTGAAAATGGGTGTGGGTCACAATCAGGTGAGCTCACTGTGAAACCTGGCCCCACCCTATCATGTGAATTCCTGAGGTCAGATGGCCCAGGATGTGAGTGGGCGTTAAGGCGTCTGGGAAGGATCTCAAAACTGGATCATAGATGGCAGAGAGTTGGTGTCGTAAGCCCCGCCTCTGTTCAAGGATGGTCGCTCACAGTGGACATAGAAGCTTCTTTCACTCCTCTTTCAAACCATCTGTCCTCTCTGTCCAAAATGTGAACATTGGCATCCTCGAAAGAGTGACCTTTGACCTTTAGATGCAGATGGACAGCAGAGTCTTGTCCCGTGAAGTTTGTGTTTAGGAGTTTTGTCTTTTGGGTGAACCAGTTTTTGTCTGAGTGTGTTGCTGGGTCTGAAGTACACCAGGATGTCGTCATCTTCTTTTCTGTGCATCAGAAGAGAAGATCAGACACCAGCGAGGGAGGATAAGAAGGACAGACTCAACAACACTGTCATCCCCTATGTAGCCGGTGTATCAGAGAAACTCAGGAGAGTTTTCTCCAAGCACGACATTTGTTTTTTATGTCTATCTGAATTCTTGTTCACATGAATAGTTTATATAAAAGATGTCCAACTCAGAGACAAAAAGGCTGAAAGGAGGGATTCATGCCTGGAAGTAGGGCTGGGCGATATGGCCTAAAATCCATATCGCGATATAATTTGAAGCACGTGCGGTAACGATATATATTGCAATATATTCTTTTCTTCTGTATAACGTATTTTCCACACTATAAGGACTTAAAATCCTTTAATTTTCTCAAAAATCGAGAGTGTTCCTTATGTATGAATTCTGGTTGTGCTTACTGACCTCGAACTGATTTTGGCTGCAGATTTTTGAAACTAATTCAAACGTACAGCTCTGCTACCACTTCTAACATAAAGACAGAAACTAAACAGCAGTGGCGTTTGCAGGGTTACTGAAGTTGGACTAGCTGGTATATAATGTTGTGCTACGTGATTGCTAGCGACACAGCTATGTTAGCATAACATTAGCACAGTGAAGCTGGAGGATGAAGCCAACTTTTTTTCCACTCGATAAAAGTTAACGTGAGGGATTCTGGTGGTCAGGGACAAATGCAGTCGCATAGCAGGATGCTGTACACGGGCCAAACTTCAGCCAGGAGAACAACTGAGATATTCATCCACAATACGAGGTTAGTTATTAATATACTGCAACAACATGGGAACAGAACAGCTGCGAGAGAATTCAACATTAATGAATCGATGTTACGGAAGTGGAGGAAGCGCAGTTTTTCCCCATATTTCAAAAGTGCTTCATCTCTTTGCTGTGACTGTCGCCCGCCATAATTTGCAGATGATAATGGTTGTAGCCGCTGCGATGCTTTCAACCAAAACAGGCGCAGCTTGATGACATCATCAACATGCGCTATCGCGATAGAGCGATATAGTCAAAATCTCTATCGTTGGCCAAATTTATATCGTTTCTATCGTATATCGTTATATCGCCCACCCCTACCTGGAAGTCAAAATTATGTTAGTGACTGGTTTCAGTCAACCACAGAATTTATACGAACTCTGATGATCAGTTTTAAAGAGAATGATGATTGCAATCAGACAGATGAACTCATGTGCAGTGAAATCACTGATGGACTGTAATATTTAATTATCACATGAGCCTGCCAGTGAATCATGCTGAGTAGCATCATGAGAGGGGAAGAGAGGTACCAGTTCCCACTCAGAGCATCATCATGATCAGAAATCCTTATCAGAGCAAACGAACCAGCTCATTTACAAGTGGAGGCGGGTTACAGGGTTTGGCTGCTAACAGGTGAGTGTGGCACATGTCTGTGGCATTTTTCAGTCTGGTGCTGATTGACTGAACGACCTGCTGTGAGCCTGCTGATGGCGCTCTGGGCTGCCTTGCTGTGGAAGTGCTGGATCCACTTGACTCTGCTGCTCATCCAGGTTTCTTTACCTGAAGGTACACACACACACACACACACACACAACACCAGTACAACAACACCACACACACACACACACACACCTCCCACACGCCTACGCGACTCCAGTACATTACAGACAAAACAGGAGAGTTCTTCATCTTGAGAGCCCAACAGGAAGTGGAAAGCCATTAGCGATAATATCCACAAACTGTTATTTTGATCCTTTAAATATTTATTTGCCAACATGTAAGAATATGGATTCTTAACCAGCAGCCTTTCAGCTGAGCATTAATCAATGCATGTCTCAGGTATCAGCCTTTAGCAGCAGCTTAGGGCCTTCAAAATAAAAGCTTCCCATTAGAGAGACAGAGTGCCAGTGGATTCTTAAAAGCTTGTGTTTTTCTCCTGAAGATTTATTTTTTGCTAGAATTTTCGGACTTTCCGAGCAACAACACCACTCCACACCTGCTCCAGAGCAGACTCTGTCATAGATCAGCATGTATGAAAGCACCACCTGCTGACCAGTTCTCCTGAAATTAGCAGAATTCCTGGAAGATCCATCAAACACGGATGTATGGCTGGAAATGCATCCCAAACAGTCTTTGTCTTAGATGCTCAGATGTGTCTGTATGCCTGTTGTTTTTTTAAATTTAACTGTAAGCAGTAAAGAGGTTTAAACCGCTGTGGTTAGCAAGAAGGTCTTGGGTTCAAATCCTTGTTTTGTGTGGCATGTACGGGTCCTCTCCCAGCCCCACAGTCCACAGACATGCAGTTAGTGCGGTTAGGTTAATGGTGATTCTATACCAGGGGTCTCAAACTCAAATGAGCCGTGGGCCGCTGCTGGCACCGTCATCTCATTGGAGGACCACTTTAGTGCTTAAGTAGTACAAAAAATCAAACAAACAAGAAACCACCCACTGATATTTCCTGAAATGTAGTGTTTTGTTTGTTTGCTTCAAATAAATTTCAAATATTGTATAACACGACAAAACTGCAAACGTGAATGCATTGTTTTCTCACTCCTAACTAACTGAAGCCTTTCATTGGTCCACCAACTAAACAAAGCTCCTTCTCCTCGTGGCAGCACTTCTATCATTTTGTTCGTACTTAACAAAATAAAAATGCAGACATCAGTGTACACGTTAATCTGAACTAACACAGCCAATCCCTCAACATGTTTGTACTTTACTGTACCTCAGCCAGGTGCGCGGCTCCGAGCCATAGTAAATGGCCTGTATTTGTATAGCGCTTTACTAGCTTTACTAGTCCCTAAGGACCCCAAAGCGCTTTACACATCCAGTCATCCATCCATTCACACACTGGTGATGGCAGCTGCATTGTAGCCACAGCCGTCCTGACCACCACCAGTAGGCAACGGGTGAAGTGTCTTGCCCAAGGACACAACGACCGAGACTGACAACCTTCCGATTACAAGGCGAACTCCCAACTCTTGAGCCACGATCACCACGGTAGTAAAGAGACCTCTGCTCTGGCTAATACGTCGGGCTCGTAGCTGAAAACTAGCTTTACTTTGTTGTCTGGGTCAACTTTGCTAGCGAGAGGCAGAGAGAGGCGTTGAAAGGCTGCTTATTGTTTCGGAGGAAAACAGGAACACGGTGTACAGTTGAGTCTTAACAGCTTACTTACAGCTGGGCTCGTCAGGCTCTCTTCTTGGCTGCAGTGGTTATTATTATATTTACATGCTTCCAGCTCCCGTTTCTGCTCGGTGACAGCTCCTACTTTTCCTTTCTCTCCCACCTCGCTCACAGACACATAACAGCAGTCCATGCTCCCTGCAGCACGGACTACACTGCCCATGCCTGTAGCACTCTGCTCATATTGCCTTCATATTAATAGAATTTTTGAATAATGATTAAAAGAATATTTCTTCACACCAAGTAGAGGTTAAGGGAGCTGCAAGTGACCCGCGGCCGAGAGTTTGAGACCTGGACTGTCCATAGGTGTGAATGTGAGTGCCCATTGTTGTCTTTCTCTCTCTGTTAGTGATGCGACCTGTCTGGTCTATTTGCCATTTACCAAATCAAATTTCAAAGTAAGCTAGTCCTACATTTGAAATGTATTTTTATATTTATTCTTCACATCATTTCAGTCCAGAAAATGCTGAGACTGCAGTATTATTGTATTACAGGCTCCTGGAGACTAAACTAGGAAGCCAGTTCAGTACACCCAGGATAGCTTTTCCTTATTTGGCTTCACTTGCATGAAGCTGCTTTTCAGCAACCTCCAGAACTGTGATGGTAAAAGTCTAAAAGTCAATGTGGACGTGGCAAAACTTGCAGTTCCAGTGTCCACTTGTTCTCCAGGGTCAACCCCGTATAAGAAGAAGCTACTTTGAGCTTCTCCTTTATTCACAAAGGATTGCCACAGCAGTTCTGATGTTCTCCCTGATGCAATTCCAGAGGGATTTGTATCTCCTTCCAGAATTTGCTGATCAGGCAAATGTGAAAACTGCTGCATGGTGGGAGCCCTAGTTCGAGTGTCCGTAAGCCTGTTTATGCTAAACACTTTCTCCTTCTTATCAGTTACAGCTTCCTGTCATATCCTGAGGTGTAACTCGGATTTTGTGGCTGCAACGCTGGACCTGGGCAGCAGCAGTAGTGGCAGCGGCGGTGGGGCAGCAGGAGGAGGAGCAGCAGCTGTCAGCAGGCAGGCGGCGAACGCCGGTTACTGCAGCGCCCTGCGCTCGTACGCCATGTGCACCAAGAGGCTGTCGCGAGCGTGTCGTGGTGACCTCGCTTACCACTCTGCGGTCCAAGGAATCGAAGATCTGCTCATCCAGCATCGCTGCCCCCGGGTCGGGCCCACGGCACAGCCCCGGGCCCCCCCTGCTGAAACGCTGTCGGGGGACACCTGCCTGTATGAGAGGAGCTTCTTCAGCAGGGAGGGGCAGACACCCGAATACCTTCACTGCAGCGTGTTCGGAGACCCGCACATCAGAACTTTCAACAATGACTTCCACACATGTGCCATTCCGGGGGCGTGGCCTCTCATTGACAATGAGTATCTGTACGTACAAGCCACCAGCTCACCAGCCAGGGGAGGCATGTACGCCACAGTTCTCACCAAGGTGAGTGCTGACACTTACAGGAGCAGTCAAATGCACCATCAGCTTCTCATGTAAACCTCAACTTACGGTCGGGGGGGGGATCCGAGCAGAGGGTGAGGTGGGGTACACCCTGCATGCCGTCAGTCTGCTGCAGGGCTGACCGATAGAGCGTCGTCGCGTTGTGCTCAAACTACAGCCCAGTGCACAAAATGCAGTTTACTGTGAAAAGAGAGAAATGAATGTCAGACATGCTGAAAACTGACAAAATGTCCCAATAACAGCAAATAAAAATGTAACAGTGAGCAGAAATAAACATTTACGACCCCAAAATGAAAATAATCACAGAGCTATTATGGAAAACGGCATTTAATGTCTTCTTTTTCCTCTCAGATCACCATCATCTTCAAGAACTGGCGTCAGTGTATCGACCAGCAGCTGTACCAGGCCGAACTGGATAACGTCCCCGCCGCCTTCGCTGACGGCTCGATGTGGAGCGGTGAGTGGCGAGGTCATCGCAGCCTCACGGTTCGGTCTCTGAATCCCGGCCGGCACGCCGAGATCCGAGCGGTGCACGTCGGCACGGTCTTGGTGGTGCGTCAGAGCGGCCGCTCGCTCGGCCTCTCAGTCCTCTCGCCACGTGGCGTCGTTGAGGCGTTCAGGCCTGAGCAGGACCTCCAGCTGTGCGTGTGGGGCTGCCCCCCCTCCCAGAGACTCAACACGCTTCACCCACCACCATCAGACCCTTTGATGTCCACCGCCATCAGCGCTGAGGACCACTGCGCGGCTCTGCTTCCAGCTCGAGACGTCTACTATCAGGCCTGCGTGTTCGACCTGATCGCCAGCGGAGACCTGAACTCCAGCATGGCCGCTGTCAGTGCACTGCAGGATGCCCAAACCATGATCCCAGACAGGGAGGGGGTTCACCTGCTGCTGGTTGGATCTGCAGGGCACACACGACCTCACCTCACGCTGCTGCTGCTGCTTAGCATTTTGGGAACTCTTAGCAGGCCCTGAGAAACAGGAAGTGACCTCAGACTGTGAAGCTGAAGGAAATGTTTGGAAAATTTCCCAAACACAGCACCTGGAAGAGGACCTAAATGTGATGTCCCAGACGCTGACATCACTGCTGACACCTGAAGCTGGTTTCATGGTCCCACAGAGGAAGCTCCCGTGCGGGCGTGGCCCGTCTGCCTGTCTTTGTGCTGTTGTTGGTCCGTTAGCTAGCCACGGAGAAAAGTCAAGCTCTAAAACACGAAGAGCTGAATTGAAACTGAGACAAGTGTCACTGCAGCCTGTTTGTTTCGCTCTTTGAACTTTATGCTACGGTTCTCCCGTTAAACTCTTTTTTCACTCCCTCTTGTATCCAGACCAGTCGACATTAGGCAGTTACTCACATCATGTAATTTCAGCATTGTGCTATATCTTGGAGGACTGCATGGGAGTGTGTCTACCGTGGATGAAAACCCCACAGAGACATTTGTGGGACCATAAAACCAGCAGATGGCGTCCTGATGATGACAGTCTGGATGGAACGGAGCCGCTTGGAAACTTTCCGGGGCCGCAGACTCTAATCGGAGCCCCGAATGTTTGTGGATCACTGCAGCTGATCCAGAACCTTAAAAAAATCTGTGTGCAAAAGAAAAAAGAAATTAATTTAGCTGCTAATTAACAATCTGATAATAAAGATTTCCTCGTGAAATGTTGAATAGTTTGTGATTTTGTTTTATTTTGATGTTCCAGTGCAGTACAAGAGCACGTCGCTCTCGCTCTGCAGGCCTACTTGTTGTTCCAGAGTATTTAAAAGTAGAATGGGAGGCAGAGCCTTCAGTTTTCAGGCCCCTCTTCTGTGGAACCAGCTTCCAGTTTGAATTCTACTTTCAAGATCAGGCTTCAAACTTTCCTTTTTGCTAAAGCATATAGTTAGGGCTGGACCAGGTGACCCTGAATCCTCCCTTAGTTATGCTGCAATAGACGCAGGCTGCCGGGGATTCCCATGATGCACATGAGTAGTTCTTCTTTACTCACTGCATGTGATCTGAGTTATTTTTCATCTCTGGCTCTCTTCTACAGCAAGTCTTTGTCTGCTTTTACTATTTAGACAAACGGCATCAAATGAAGTTCAGACGAGACAGTTTCAGCTGCTCTACCATCATGAACTGAAATGTCCTGATGCAAAACATTGAACCCAAATTTCCATCAACTCCACTCCTGATGTGTTTGTGGCTGAATGAGGACCCAGGATAAAAAAGAAGCCCTTTGTTACCCCGGTTCTTTTTTTTACTGTTTGTTCAGTAAACCTCCCCCGGAGCTTGGAGGACTGCACTGCAGTGTGTCTACTTTGGGTGAAAAGCAGAAGCTCTGTTTCCTGAGAAACCTCAGGAAAATTAATACCAGATAAACCTTTATTAGTCCCACGAGTGGGAAATGTTTTGATCACGGTTACAATTTAAGAGCAGCAAAGATTAAGAAACAGAAGAACATCAACAATAGAATAAGATTAGAAATAATATCATACTATACAAAACAAAATAGAATACATTAAAAATAACATCCGTCAAAAGCTGCCGGTGTCCTGCTATCGATGTTTATCGAGAGCATCCTGTGCTACTGCCTCTGTGTGCGGGTCCCCAGCTGCACAGCAGGAACTCGGCTGTTCCTCTGGAGCAACACCCAAATGCAGCCACCAGGCAAAAGATACAGGATCTAAATAGCAGCTTTGAATTACAAGTCATTTCCTCCAATTCAGTCTCACAAATACTGCGCAGACGTCGTGTTTATGACTCTTGCGTATTGGATTCTTTTGTAATTATATTCAAACTGTTTCTCTTGACTCTGCAGGGACTGCACTTTATTTTGTTGACAATAAAGATCGTTTAAATCTTCCTGTTTGCAGCGCAGCAAAAGCGATCCACAGTAAACTCACAGAGGAGATCACGAGTGTGGAGACGCAGACGTGCTGTCGACATCTCGTTGTCTTTCTGTCTCACTTTGGGTTTTTTTTCTAGCGACAGAGTCTCTCTCTGCTTGCTTTGCATCTTTTTGTGTGTCTTTGGATTCTTTCCCGTTCACGTTCCCGGAGGAGCCACCAGCCGAAGTGCTCGCACACAGCTGCAGTGGCCTGAAAACAAAGAGAGTGTAAGAGTGTGCTTCAGTGTAAGAATAGCAGGGGACAGGTCCTGGTCACAGAGGCAGAGACACACGGGGTTGTTATGTGTTTGTCTGAAACGTTATGAAGCTAAAAGCCTCAGACTTCCAAAGAATCACATCCAAGCAGGGAAAATGACGACATGGCATTCCAGCAGCCTGAAACGTTTCCTCTACAAATTTAAATGTAATTTCATCATCACTCAGATCTGATTAATCGCTGAATCAGAGTAATGTTGAACAGAAGTGCACAGCAAACCGAGCAGGATGACTGAGTGAGCTGCATCACGTTCGTGCCCACCACAAAAAGCTGCAGTAAAAGTGAAGTGCTTGTAAACCCTCATTTCCAAGGAAAAGCTACTTTAAAATCACAAAGTGAAAGGGAACATGGGTCAAACAACGTGACTCACCATGAGAAAACAAAGACACACAATGAATTAATAAGCAGGCTGGATTATTCAGGGGTTATTCAAACAGTCAGCAAAGTCCTGCGAGTATAATCCAGGATGTTCATGTCAAATGTGTCAGTTTAAAAAGAAAAATGGTGACACTTTTATTTTTCTTCTTCATAATTTTACTTCATTTGTTTTTTAAAAGATTTTTAGTCATAATTTCATTTCAGGCTGATGATCCACCTTCATTTAATCAGAAGTGAACATGAACCTGGACCCAAATCACCCTGCATCCATCTTTCAACACTTACTGTAAGTTTTCAAACTGTCTCACAAAGCCGACAGCCCTGCTCCTCGCTCTCTTTTAGGGGAACGCTGACGCAATCCCAAGCTGAGACATCTAATCTCTCCAGCATTCCTGAGGTCTTTTCCTCAGACGTATGACTTATTTCCAAATTTGGATCTGCTGAGCCTGCAGGTGTTCATTCGAGGACTGAAAAACTTCACGACCGCCCAAATGTTCATTATTTGCATAAAACAGCGCTCTGATCACATTTTTGGTGCTACTGTAGCAAAGCTCTGCAGACACTCCTCTACTTGTCCTCTACTTGGGGCAAAAATTCCTTTCCACTATTTTTCAGCTCCCTATATGCTTTACCTATATGCTTTTTTTTTACTATTAAAAAGCCCTAAAGGCAACTTTTTTCCAGCTTCATCATTTCCTGTGATGGTGACTATATTGTCGTGTATATGTAATACATAAACACGCTCCATCCATTCTCTTCCGCTTATCCTTTTTCAGCTGTCTTAGGGCGAGAGGCGCGGTACAGCTGGACAGCTCACCAGCCTGTCACATAGCCAGCCATCCACACTGTGCCGCCTGCACTTAAACACTATTAATAAAATAAATCCCTGCATGCGTGCAGTGTGAAGTGTTTTTGAATGTCAGTGACACTAGAAATGCCAGTCCACTTACCAAGTGCAGCAAACAGTGGTTTGCAAAACGTGTGAATGAAATGTGTGAATTTTAAGGCTTTCAAATATTGTCCAATCAGCATTTTCTCTGAAAGCATGTCTTTATGTGCCATGTACGATATTCTCTACTAGAAGAGTGAAAAAAGTATTAAAGTATTGTTTTCCTTTTACATCCCTGTGCCTGTGCTTTGTGGTTATTTAATGTATGTATGAGTAAGTGCCTCACTACAAGTATGAAACGCAGAGTTATTGTGAAATGTGAATAATAAGGAAGATCAGGAAATCCCCTTATTTAATGATGTGATATAACGTGCAGGCAGGAAACACCTTCAGTGTAACTCTGACTCAGCTCTGAGAGTCTCCGGATTGTCCTGGAAAGTGACTTAGCAGAAAAAAAACTGATGTCAAACCTTCTGAGAAGCGAGCCGACGGCTTCCTCGGAATCTGCTTCAACACACGACGGACGGAGCTTAAATATGAGCATCAGGAGCATGAAGACCTCACATCACAGCCTCCACAGGACAGGACCACAGACCAGAGGAGCAGGGACCAAACTGAAGTCTGGACCATCACAGGATAACAAGTCAGTTTTAAATGTCTTCCTTACCTTTGCTTACCTTTTATTTCAAACATTTAAAACTAGTATTCTTGATATTTTTGCACCATTTTTTAGAGTTTGTGCTTGAATTTCAATATTTGTCTGCCAACTAAATGCATGTCTATTCCCAGCAGCTGGGATAAGCTGCACAGCTAAACATCTGCATGCTTGAACAAGCAGAAATACCTGAAATGAATGTAAAAGAAACAATGGCAAAAAGGAAAGCGCTCGAAGGTAAATCAGGAGAATGATACAGAAGGGCAAAAAGTAAGAATTGATTTAATGGAGATTATTATTATTATTATTATTATTATTATCTCAAAAAGATGCTGTCATGCACAAGAAGTGTGTGCAGTTTTCCCAGTGACAGGCGCTGTTATATAAAGTATGTGAGATCTTGGTGTAGTTTGAAATGCCCTGATCGTTGTTTAGAATAAACATTAAATGAAAATATGTGATACAGTCATCAGTGGTCACCTATATGTGCAAAGTGGTTCCATCAGTTTTTGGATTTATGATGACAAATAAACTGGTTTTCATTAGCAAATATCTGAGGCTGCTTTGATTAGAAAATGATTGAAAGAAGATAAGAATATTGTGCCACCAGTGTTTAAATGCACACTGAGTTGGCGTTTGCTGTGGATTCTTGGAATCTCATTGTGGAATACGAAACGAATTATTATTTGAATGAAGTCTGAAAAAGGCCGAACAGATTCTTTGATTTAGGAGACATGAAGTTTGGGAAGAGTCAAACTTTGACTTCGTGACTTTCTGGTTTCATTATTGAGCCTGGAATTACTCAGATTACACGATATATTTTATAAGCCTGACACTGAAACTAAAAACTAAAAAAAATTCTTTCACTTTAATTTCCGCAGCACAGAAAACTTTGTGCTTTTCTTTTGGTGGAGTTTTTGCAAAACACTTCAGAAATCCGACAAATAATTCCTCTACACATTTATGGTTTATTTGGAAGGAGGTAAAAACGTCCATTTGCTTTGTATTTTTCCACTTTTTGTGTTTTGAATATGAAGCGAGATTAAAGTTGCTCTTTTTTAATCTGACAGGTGCAGCAACGTCACCGAATTATTTTTTAATTATTTGAAAATTTCACATTTACTAACAGCCTGACGGTCAGCAGAGCAGGGGTCCGCGGGTCGTTGTGACCCCGCTGACCGATATGTCAGGGTGATGTTCTCGCCAGCAGCGCGCGTGTGCGCGTAAATTGCGCACAGAACGTGCTCCTCTCTCTGTGGTTCAAGACCAGGTGCGCAGAGTCCGCAAAGGTCTTTCTATTTCACTAAATAAAACTACACCACAAACTAGCGATGACAAAAAAAAATTTAAATAAAAATTTAAAGTACAGTCGAAACAAATGAAAACTATCTGAAATGATATTGCGCATGAATAAAATTCAACAGGAAACGTCCTTAATTTATTCTTTCTTAGTTTGGTCAAATTTAACTCCCACGTCCCCTTAAACAGACGCATGGAGCGTGTGTCGAAATCTTCATTCTGATATTTCTTCCGCTCGCCACGGTGATGAAACAAGCAAAGGCACCGAAACTAAAAACAACTAAACACTAAAGTAAATGAA